GAGGCAATCCAGCCAGAGCTTCAGAGACTTGGCATGACTGAGGTGATTGGTTGAGAAACTCAGGCCACCACTGTGAAGTAGGGAGGTAAACACGCTACGTACTAGCAATGGGACGCTACTAGATATTGACGCAGGATAGCTCACGTTTCTTCAAGGAAGCTCCCCTCGTGTGCGGCGGAGGGGGAGCTTCCTTGAAGAGGCGCTCGCACGTGTTCGCCATGAGTGAGTTCCGAGCTTTGTAGGGGAAACTACCAGAACCACCCAGTGTCAGGTGGGGCCAGTCTTAGACCCCCCCCCGACGTACCCGGACGATCGATTTTTCAAGCAATAAGCATCATGGTGCCGAACTGGGATGAATCCACCAGCCTCGGGAAGAGGTGTTTTGGTTCGGTCTGTTGCTGCCGGCAGCTGCCGCCAAGCCTTGGGCTTCCACTACGCCCTTGTCGGACGGTCGGACGCAGCGGAAAACGCTGACTTCCAAGGCAGTTGGCTCAGCAACATCCTTACATGAGACTGGTGATCCAAGGATTCTTAGACAACCTGGCACAGCAGAGGGGCTGTGCCCGTATCGAAGGAGTGGTTTTCTCTGTTTGAAAGAGGGGGAAGTCCTGGGCAAGAGACCTGTAGAAGAAGACTACACCTGTCCTTGAACTTTGAGGCTCAGTAGTCACACAGAAGAGGAAACTTCCCCAGGGTCCTGGCTATGAGGAATGTCTCACACAACGCATCAAAACACCAAGTGAACGAAGAGCGAAACTTTCCACTTCTGAGTCCCCTCTGGCCACAGCACTCACTAGTTGCACGGCTTGGTTGGTCAGGTGTAACTGCCCTTGACTAGTAACATGAAGAATGGGTTGGAAACCCAGGCTTTCCCAAGTGCCCCAGATTTCGGTGTTCAAGTGCTTTCCGCATAGCACGCACGCCGAAAACCTCGCGCGGCATGGACCTGGGACCTGCTAGTGAAGTGGCAGCAGGATTGTTCCGAGGGGCAATGCCAAGAGAGCAGGGATGAGTCAAGGGTCGAAGTCAAGCAGATATCATGAGTTTTGAGGCAGGTTTCAGTGCAGTCACTGAGTGAGAGAGCGAGAGAGAGATTTGTTCACCAAACGTGGCATAGCTGCTGGGCCCTTGGAGCTTGGGATAATAATTATACTAACCCAAAAGCTAATTTTACCCTCATAGCTAAGGTTTTGACCCTCACAACCAGAGTGAAATGGACCGAACCAACATGTAGCAGTTGGTTCGGGTCGGTCGCCTCTTGGAATGGTAGATCTTCACAATGGAATCCTCTGATCAATTAGAGCCCCTCTTTGGGGTCTCCACTGTCAGTTGGGAGTCTCCTTTTTCGGCGTCCCGGACCTGGAAGGTGGGTTGGTGAAGAAAAGCTCCCGGCCTGCGGGGAGGTCAAGCTATATCGGAGGCTTCCGGCTGACCAGAATGGTTGACCTGATGAAGAAAGTGTTAAATCTGGAGAACCATGTTGGATTCATGGTGGTTGGAATCCTAGGGTCTATGTCTCCCCAAAAAACGGAAAACATAGGCGTGGGCCGCAGGTGGATCTGCACAGCTTTCGAAGGCCGTGGTGGATCTTGGACTCATCAGTTCCTGTTTGGGTAGCTCGGTCATCCTCAGTCGCCCGATGTGGCGTCAGGGTCCCTACTTGTGCACGGGTCCCTGAGCAACGTTTCAAGCGAGGGGTGCACAGGGTGGAACAGTTGGAGAGGGGAAACATGGGGAAACTGACTCGATCAGAACTGTGGAAATGACTTACGTTGCATCAACGCGCAGCCCTCGCGGGCCCTTCCGCCCAAATAGATATCTTTTGTACAGAGTGCGGCACTGGACGAAAGGGAGGCAAGATGGAGCAAGGGGCTTCTTAGCCTGAGTTCAGAAAGATGTTGGATGCGTTCAGAAGCCTGAGTCCTCTAGGATTTCAACAACCATTCTTTTAATCCTGGGAACCAAAACCACCAGAAACAAGAGGTTGTTCCAATATGGCGCCAGCTTGAGATCCTTTACACAGGAAATGGCTGGGACTGGGGAGTTCCATCCATAACTCTTTCTGGTTGTGGGGGGTCACAAAACCAGAATCGTTCGTTTACGTTTCGAAGGATTCCAACGGAGAAGAGGCGACGACCGGTTTTGTTGGGGCGGATGGTGTTTCGGTGGTACGAGAATCTGAGTGGTCCTAAAAAAAGACCATGGGAAAACGATCATAAACTATGTCAGATGGTGTTTGGCTCTAATTTTGTTTGCTGCTCACATGATTTTCGGGATGTCTGAGTCCCTTAGTCATTGCTGTTGATCGCATCAGCCGGTTTTGGCTTCAGCATCCTCTCATCAGCTGGCTTCAAGACTCCGATCGGAGCGGATCGGTGCGGATCGGTCCGATCCAAACAGCTCCGGGCATCGCATCGCTTTCGGAGTCTGACGGAGCACGTCTCCGGTGGCGGTCGTGGCGTGGCGGTCGTGGCGGCCCTGGGGTCGGACGTCCGAAGCAAACCGGACCCTTTGAGGATGAAGGGTATGGCCCCCCTATCTCCGGAGGAGGGTCGGAATTTCGTTCTGAAAAACGCGAGCCCCATGGTGTTTCACTCCGCTCACAAGAGTCATGTTGTCCAAAGTACTCTGAGGGTTGCCCAAAGTACTCATCTGAGTGGGTTGACAAACCTGTTTTGAACTGTTGAAGCGAGGCTACGCTTTCTTTCGATCTTTCAAGATGAAATCACGTGGTCAAGTGGAGGGCATCCAGGCAAACCACGAGGTCGCTGGAAGTCCCAGTTGGTTCCAGTTCGACTCAAACCACTTCGACCGGTTCCGAACGAATCCCTGGTTCCTCTACTTGTCCGTGGTTTGCCTGGGATGCACTGGCGAAGTGGACTTCTGGTGGTGTTGCCAGGTGCCGGTTTCCCCAACTTCCAGGTATTCCCCCGGTCAATGCTGCTGAAAACGCTCCACGCGTCCACTCCCATCGCGTCCCTTTGGTCCAGTGGAATTCAGAAAACGCCGAATCGATGGGGCGCCCAGCCCAAGGGAAAGCAGGTCTCGCCACATCCAAAGGTGGACTTCATGTTTAGCCCGGCCTGGTAGTTTTTTGATGGCTTTCAGGTGGAGTCGCAAAGTGGAAGTTCTGAGGTCGACCCTTCATGAATAGAACCGTTTTATGTGAGGAGGTGCACTTGTTTTTTTTGGACATCTTAAATCCGGAAAAATCTGGATTGGCACTTGGGGTGATTTCTCAAAGAAGGAGGTGAAACAAGGTAACCAAAAGGGAGGGTGTCAACACCATGAATTGTGTAGCTGGCCAAATCCCCACATTGAGAAATCGTTTCTGTTTCTCTTGCTCTAGGTTTCAGAAGGAGGTCGTTGCAGAGATTGTGTGGCATTCCGAATTGGACATTGGGTGAAGCCATCAGATCGTGTGACAAGTGGAGGCAAAACGTCATGGCTGCACCATCATGGATACCCTTGAAAAGACATGAAAAGACACCCAGGTGGCAAAGAAAAGCTGGCGAAGGACAGAATGGTTAGCGGATCATGCGTTCCTTGCCCTTTGGTGGCTTCAACACACCTATAGATCACTAACTCTCGCGAGTGAACACGAGTTGACCGGCCGTGCCCCATTCGGCTGCGTGAGCGCAAGGCTGGTGGCAAGTCGTTTTACCGTTTCACCATCGAACACCGTTGCTCGGCACATGTAATGCGTCTTTGGAGCTATCGGGGTTCCAACTGTGCTGCCTTTCGGCTGCTGTACTGCAGGCATTGGAGTGCTTGCAGCTACCGCAGAACTGGATGGCAGCCATCGTTCCGCATTGGCACAAGTGTGGCCAGTACAGCATGTGGCACCCTTGTTGAGGAAATTGCGCAAGTGTTCATGGACAGCCATCATATCAGAAAGACTGATTGGGTTTGGGAGTTTTGGAGCGCGAGCATATGAGCAGTGAATGGCTGAAGAAATGGAACAGAAAATACATGTGGCTTTGGAGGGCTAGAAAGAGTAAGACAACAACGACATGTGCTTGTTTCCCCTTGAGAAGGTCGTCTGGGCAGAAGTACTGCGCCTAACCATCAGCATATGTCAACATACACCATGCTTCTTCCCTAGTAGCGTCCTTGCTCCTAGTAGTAAGGCCAGGAGCCCCTAGTAGCGTCCTTGCTCCTAGTAGTAAGGCCACGAGCCCTTTGCTCCTAGTAGTAAGGCCAGGAACCCCTAGTAGCGTCCTTGCTACTAGTAGTAAGGCCAGGAGTCCCTAGTAGCGTCCTTGCTCCTAGTAGTAAGGCCAGGAGCCCCTAGTAGCGTCCTTGCTCCTAGTAGTAAGGCCAGGAGCCCCTAGTAGCGTCCTTGCTCCTAGTGATAAGGCCAGGAGCTCCTAGTGGCATCCTTGCTCCTAGTCAACATACACCATGCTTCTTCCAATTGCCCACAGAACACTGCCACGTGGTGGCTGCGCTGTGTCGGATGCGGAACTGAAGACGTCTTGTGCAGGTCAAGTGGACCAAGAAGTTGTGCAGGTCGGATCCCGGTTGGTCACCTCGAATCTGTTTACATGGTTTACGAATGTCCGGACAAGAGCCACCAGTCAAACGGGACTCATGTGAGAAGATACCTGGGGATCCGATGCTATGGGTGAAAAACGATACTAGGCCAGCCAGCTTCGCACTGCATGTGTATATAGCAAGATATGGCAAGTAGTACAGAGACTATTATTGTCGTCATTCCCAATCACTTGTAGAAAGGCATTGGCAGGAAAACTGTGCGGCCGCCCATCATGTCATGTTTCGGGTGAGCCAGCACGCTGCAAGTGGTACAGAAGTTTCTTCCGTGACAAGTACCCTACAAGTCAACGAGCTTTGTCTTCGGTTGATGGTGTGTCAAAGCCTTCTTCGTGCCCAATCCAAGCATCATTGAGGGCAGCACCCAGTGAAACTCGATCTCCCGGGCCGCGGCTTTTTTTCGGCTCAAAATGCAGAACATTGACTGCTAATTTAATGATAATGCAATGGATGAAGAGGAGAGCTTGGGGCACATGCTTGGGGGAGGCTGTCTCCAGGTGGGAGCTCCCCGGCGGGAACAGCGCTTCCCTTGGTGGTAGAGCCTCCCTCGCTTCCAAGTGGGTAGGGCAATTCTTTGTTCAATTCCCATGTGAGGTCGTGGGAGCCTCTTCTGATTCGGTCGCGAGTTCGCCGGAGAGAGCTAGGGTCAACCCCCGAACTCAGAATTCATCGTACTGTAGTAGTTTCGACCATTGGAACCGCAGACCAACCCAGCGTGGTTTTGGGGTTCCATGTGGCTGCGCTGAGCGCTCAGCGCGCCTACCGCGGTTCATCGGATCCCCAGACATCCCCAGACTGCTCAAATGCCTCCGGTGGATGGTCCCGGCTTCGGACGTCCCAGTGGACAGAACAACGAAAGGCGTACTCAGCCCGCCCGGTGGGCAAGTTTCAGCATGGAGCACGAACAGCAAGTTTCAGCATGTGATGCTTTAAATTGTTTTAAGAGTTGCTTCTATAGTAGAATCAATGGCAGTACCCTCTTGAAGGAAGTCCAGCTAGCTAGCCCAATCTCCACGGAGATATCAGTTCGACTCAGCCGGTGATGACCCAACTCCGGTCGACGCCAGATGGCCAGATCTGACCCCTTCCATCTTCGCCGCAGGACAGCGAAACCCTTAGCCCCTCGCTTAGCCCACTTGGGAGCGAGTTCGAGCATATCAGGCACGGAACTGCGACACGGAACTGGCCGGGTTTTGGGCCAGTCATTCAGACCAGTCATTCAGACCGCGCGGCTTGGCTTGTGGTCTGCTTCTCGCGCTCAGCGTGGTGCTGTTCATGAAAAGAAAGATGGGGTCCATCCTTGGACCGGACTTGGCAGTCAAAAGGCTTCTGACCACGTGAAAACCACCGAAACCAAAAACCTGCCCATGTCCGGTGGTTTCGGCTGGAGGTTCAGAGTGCCCATTATCCACTCACTTAGGGACCGAACACCACCCCTTTGTGACTCCTGGTTGGACCCTCAGTTCGCTAGGGTTTTGACCGTCGCAACCAGGGTTTTGGACCTCCAACATGATCAACATGTAGCAGTTTGAGGGTCCAGGGTCGCCTCTGGGTGACAAATAAATCAACCCGAACTGGGTGGTGCTGGCATCGAATCTGATATGATTGGTTCGATGATTCGATGATGCCAGTTGGTTCGATGTGTTGGTTGGAGTTGTTTTGGAATTCGTTGACATTGGCAATGTGGGGGGGGTATTTCGTTGACGGTGTTGTTGTGTTTCCACGTGTTGCCGCAAGAGCTCAATCTTAAGAAAGATGTGTTGGCCCCAGCTGGTCCCAGAAGAAGACGGTCTCGCTCATTCATTTGGTTTATAGATATAGAAACTTATATGTTAATCAAACAACACACAACAGAAATAACTACTATACCAGGACCCTCACTGCCACCAATTGAAACCTGTTAGTTAGGATGGCAGGTTTCGGGCGCTGGTACAAATCCCTGATTCACCATGTGTTTTTACTACTTCAGCACTGCATGTGTGACACATCGAAGTCGCTGACTCCCGCTCCCGCTTCCCGTCCCGAGTCGACCAGGCGCGGACGCCGACCGGGAGCAGAGCGCCCGACAGGGTCGTTTTCCGGAACCTCTTCCGGAACGCCTTCAGGGACGCTTGGCACTAAGAGATCTGAAAAAAACGGTTCAGGTCTTCAGACGCTCTTCGTCCCGGGTCGACCCCCTAACCTCGCTTCAGCGACCCCGGCGATCGTCGGCCGGTCGCATTGCGAACGCGTACGGACCGAGAGAGCGCGAGCGATCTCGCGGCGGGTGGGGTTTGGGCGACGAATGGGACTGGTGACCGATCAGGCCAGGGGTGGTGCCTTTCCGGGGTCTGGTCGACGGGTCGTGTCGTTGATCCCCAGACGTCGGTCGCCACGCGACCGAGCTCGGTGAAGACGTGAAAGCCATGTGTGCGTCTGGGTCGTCTTCTCGACACGAGAAATGAGACTGTCATACATGGAACCCACCTTTCCTGGCAGGTTTCGGGTGCTGGCCCCTTCCAAGTCAGGTGTTTGTAAATAGCCTTTGACAGAGAGTCTTAGAGGTGAGGCACGGTGGTTTTCGCTGGCAGAATCGGAGTCTTTGGGTGATTCCGTTCTGAATCTTGTTCGGATTGATCGGCCCCTCTTTAAGGAGGAGAAGCCTTAGAAAATGGACCAGATGCACCCAACCGTGGCCCAGTCAGAGTGGAATTGGGGGGTGTGACCTGCTTGGTGGCTAGGGAAGCGGAGAAAACAAGATCGTCCAGCCAAGGCTATCATAGGCTAAGCCTATGCTAGCTTGCGGTTCGAGGACCACTCCTTAGAGCCTTAGGATGACCAACAAGCTTGGGGTTCTGGTTCCTTTTGTTTCATCACCCGAACCAGGTTGGGCCGACAGCTGAGCCCACCGAAAACCGGCACAGTGCAAAACACGGCCGAACGCGTAGCACGAAACTCCGCGCGTTGGCGCGTGCAACGCGATTGGCAGGTCCAGTGGTGAAGTGAGCGACCCCTGCGTCTTCTTCGCCTCCGACTATGGCTGCAGCCGTGGGAACCAGTGCGGTTTCTGCCATCGTGGCCATGTTCGGGACGATTTCATGCGTCCGCCCAAGGAGAAGCGCCGGAGGACGGCGGGTTGACCAACGAATTTTGAGAAAACAGGAGAACACGGAAAAAGCATGAAAAAGCTTAAACCGGAGGATGCCTTCGCGTCCTTTTTTAGGCCCTGAGGCACAGCCCTGCGGGGGAAAAAGGGGGTTGAGCGACCATGTCGGCGAGGATGAAGCAGAAAATCTGGCAGATTGTGTCACAGAGAAACCTCGATGTGGAAGCGATCCAGCCAGAGCTTCAGAGACTTGGCATGACTGAGGTGATTGGTCGTGAAATCCGTACCAGAGCCGTGGGAACACGATCCACCGGCACGACGAAGGGCAGAGGAAGGCAAGTGTCCATCCCAGACGCGACCCTGGACGTCGCTCATATAGAGGGGTTTGGGGTCTCAAATCCGGTTTGGAGGGACCAGTCGGGCTGTAAACGGAGCGTCTGGGATGTTCCAAAACATGCGTGGCACTTCCGTTCGTGGCACTTCCGTTCGTGACTTCTGTTCGATCGGAACACGGGATGATCCCAAAAAAGACTTACAAGTACATGTATTAGACCCGGGGGCTGGTTTGGAATGGGTTTGGAGCGGGCGCGGGTCGGACAGGGTTCGGGTTCGGGTCGGAAGGCCGCCGTTTGGGGACGTCCGAGGCAGTTGGCTCAGCAACATCCTTACATGAGGCAGCTGATCCAAGGATTCTTAGACAACCTGGCACAGCAGAGGGGCTGTGCCCGTATCGAAGGAGTGGTGTTCTCTGTTTGAAAGAGGGGGAAGTCCTGGGCAAGAGACCTGTAGAAATTGTAGAAGAAGACTACACCTGTCCTTGAACTTTGAGGTGCTTTGTGAAAAGAATTACGTATTGTCTTCACTCAGTAGTCACACGCAAGTGGAAAACTTCCCCAGGCTCACTGGCTTTGAGGGTCCTGTCTCACACAACGCATCCATACACCAAGTGCCACACTTCAGAGCGAAGTCCCGTCCACTTCTGAGTCCCCTCCGGCCACAGATACCTGGACCCGACTTCGTTCGTACCTTAGAAAATGGAACATGACCCGAACTCAAAAACAGGTACGACGTCGTCCCCATTTCTGAAGTACGAATCGAGACTCAGCACTCACTATAGTTACAAGGCTCAAGCTGTGCCCGTGACTAGTGCCGTGAAGAATGGGTGTCGAAACCCAGGCTTTCCCAAGGGCCCCCCGCACGGCGCGCCAATCTCCGCGCGGCACGGCACCTGCTACTGCTAGTGAACCGGGAACAGGCCAGCAGGACTATTCCGAGGGGCCATGCCAAGAGCGCAGGGCAGTGCTCCGAAGATCAGGGCACCCCGGATCCTCTGGATCGTGTCAAAGGGATGAGTCTACGGGTCAAAGCAGATTTCATGAGTTTGGAGGCAGGTTTCACGAGTTTCACTGCAGAGCCATGAGTCAGAGAAAGAGTGAGATGATGGTCGCCACCAAATCGTTCACCAAACGTGGCAATTTGTCGCCATTGATCACCTGACGGAACCTGACCCAGACACTCCATGGGACTGCCAGTCCGGACTGCCGCCCCAGACAGACCCCTCTGGCACCACCTGATCGGCCAATATACCAGTCCCATGGGTTGTCTTGGTCCATGTATCATGGAACCGAGATCGTCCCTTTTTGGACCGAACATGAGCTGCAAGCACGTTCGTTGCGCGTGGAGCGACCTGTGTGTTTGAAACAGGTGTCAGTTGGAAGTTGCTTTCGCAAAATACTGAGTTGCATGAAAACAGTTACGTTCGTAAAAAAAAACTGGACGAGACTTTAACGTGCGTGGCACGTTCACCAGCTCGCAGGGTCCATGTGCTCAGTTCGCAACAAATCCTTTGACTCGTCCTGTCGCCACGCAGAGTTTGGGATGAAGATGGCGTGTTGCGCAGCTCACTGAGTCGCAGGTGACGTGTCCCAGGTCGCAGGTCGTGACTGTCAGCTCGTACCGACGGATATATTGTGGGGTTTGGAGTCGAGGCGCTTTAAGGTCAATTCCAGCATTTTTGGGTTTGGAAGCTGCAAAAGGGCCAGAGCTCGGATGTTCAGCAACTCGAAAGGTTCCGAAAGCTGAGCTTTGAATCCGGCATCATCCGGCGTTGGTCGCTGGAAACAAGGTCCCCAACCAGAAAGAGTTCTCGATGCCATATATATATATATATCCTTGGTCTTCCTCGGCTCCAGAATCGGCAGCCCCGGTCCTACTTTCCCAAAACAGCATATCAAAGGCCTCCCAGGTACCGCTGATATAACTATTCAAAACTGAGTGCTTAGGAGACCATCTAAATTCTTCTTCTCCATAATTCTTCTCCATAACAATTGAGGTGAGAACCCGGGACCGTGAAGTGAGCGTGATGTACCAGTGAACACGCACCTCAAAAACTACATAAGCCCCCCAAATACCAGTAAAGGCCGTGAAGTAACCGTGATGTAACCGTTAAATCCCTCAACCATGAAAGCTGTGTGGGTCACGCGAAAACTGTGAGGGGAATGTGTTCTTTCCATCTTCATTGTGAGGCAGTGACTAGTATATGTTATGAATATACCCCTCATAAGTGGTATTTGGTGGCCTAGGGCTGCACAAGACCGGCCCCTGAAGAAAGGCCGTGGTTTCCACAGCCCTTTGGACGATAAAGGTATGTAAAGGGGTTGTAAAGGATCTCAAGCTGGCGCGCCATATTGGAACATCGATCGAGGGTCTCAGGTAAGTCTCTTGATAGAACTTTGGCGACTTTACGTATTCAAGCCTCTACAGAAACAATCGAATCTGTTCTCCATTCTCAGCAGGCCTACTCAAGAATTGGGGGAATCATCAGATCATTTTTGGGGGGATCGGGTGATGTTTTTTTCCGCAAGGGCATCTCCTTTTGGTGAGGATGAAGCCCTCTTTTTCCTGTGTTCAGCAAATCCCAGGCGTTCCGACTTGTGACTAGCAATCAGGGTCTTTCACCTTCCAAACCTTTCATTGGGGAGACGGTTCGTCATCCCCCAGATGGAGATGTTTTTTCACCACTCTTTCGGCGAGGACTCAAAACGGCCGACAAGCTTGCCCATGAAAGGCTCCGGCTTCGAAAGCCAGACGGAACCCAAACATCAGCTGAAGGTAAAAGAGAAAGCTAGATGGAATCTCCAGCTGAAGGAGCTCAGAGATGGAGATTGCTTGCTAGGTCTCCCTCAAGAGGAAGCTGAACCGAATCAACTCACCCGTCCCAGTGCAGACTGTCCCACCCATCTTCCGGTCGCGCCCGTCCGCGCGCCCGTGCGCGCGTGGCGCCGGTAGCTCGGTCATCCTCGGTCGCCCGATGCGGCGTCAGGGTCCCTACTTGTGCACGGGTCCCTGAGCAAGGTTTCAAGCGAGTGATGCACAGGGTGGAACAGTTGGAGAGGTGAACAAAAAAATGGTTCCGCAGGGACAGAGAAATGAACATCAATACCTGGCTGGTGGTTTAAGACATGTTTATTGTCAACCTTTACTTGTGATTGATTGATCCCTTTGGCTCATATGTGTCAAGCGAGTTGAAAGCACCAAGCAGATACTCTTCAGGGAGCTTCATGTCATGTCATAGTGGTGGTTTCCACCTCCTGCATGACTTCTCGCAGTGAAAACGGGTCTTTTAGATTCTTTTAGTATTTACAGGCGTGCTTCTGATTTGGACGAAGGTCACAAGTCCTGGCGGAGCAGCGGCAGCTTCGAGTCATCGCCTGCATGGCTGCATCGGTTTCATGCGTGAGTCATGAAAACGTTGGTTGCATGGAGCACCAAGCGTCTTCTACCTGGATCTTCCAACTGTGCCAAGTTTTGTTTGCCTTTTCATCTATAAAACCGGCCGGAAAGGTATAGGTGTGTGGAAATTCCAGTCGACCGTTGGTCTCAGAAACCGGTCGACCGTTGGTTCAAGGGAAGTCGGTGTTTCCAGGTTTGGGGGGCGGTTTTACACCATCATTCATGTTCATTTAAACCCAGTACCCGACTCTACAGGTCTCCGAAATGGAGGCTTTTGTAGACTTAAAAGTCGCAAGTGGTGACCTGTTGGAGGGTCCTGGAAGAGATTTGCTAGATGAAAAGGAATTGATGCACCCATGAATTTTAGTGGTGAAAGGGGTTCAGAACCATTCGTGACCCGTTCCTGGATCTCCGGAACCTTGGGTCGGATCTGCCGGAAGAGCCCGGATCTTCTGTTCGGTGGAAAACTGGCTTCCGGACCCACAGGTCTCGTGCGGCCGGTTTAAGCTAGGCCAGGGGTCACATGGAGTTGGGTGGTTTTTGAGTCCCATCCAGGGGCCGTGGATGTGACAGGGGCACCCCTAACCTCCATGGATAGCATCCCGTCTTGTGACTGCTGGTGGAAAAGCTTTTTCCAAATCCAAGCATGTCCTTCAGGATCAGGTTTCATTGTGCCGCTTCCAGGACGTTCCCTTTCGTCCGGCAACGAGTCCGACGCCCAATTCGGGGTTCCGCTTCCCGTTTCGCCGGGCGGGGCAGGTCTTCCTCGGGTTGTTTCCATGAGAAGATATGAGCACATCAAAAGGAAAGGCCACAAACAACTCTACGCCCGACTCGGTTTGCCGACTCAGGCCCTACGAGTAGGGCCCTTTTTGTTCGCCAAAACGACCCAAAAAGACCGGTTGACCTGGTCCTGTGGTCTAAAAGCAGTATTTCAAGCGATGGTTGTTGCGTAAGGACCTTTAAATCCAATCGTTGTTGGAATCCAGTAAGAGAGTATGGTTGGATGTTCCTCATCATGGGACATCAAATCCGCAGGAAACAGACCTACTTGGCACTTGGGATGATTTCTCAAAGAAGGAGGTGAAACAAAGCAACCTTTGTTCTCTCAGCAAAAGGTGGGTGTCAACACCATGAAGTGTGTGACTGCTCAAATCCCCACATTGAGAAATCATGTTGGTTTCTCTCGGAGCAGGTTTCAGAACGGGTGGTCTTACTTTTGCTTGATACCATCATCCAAGTGCTCAAGAGTGACCAGAAAGGAGGAGAAGAGTGACCAGCGGAATGCTGCGCATCATGACGTTTTGGGACACGTATAATACTTTTGCCGGCGGCTCATATATATAAGACACCAACAGGTTTCCGAATGTTCACATGGCACCTGCTGGTACTCGTATCCTGGTTCCAAGCTCGAGCTGTTCGGATTCCGGATTTGCTCCAGAACTGCAAGGACGATTTTGCTGTTGGTCCCGCCAAGAAGTGGATCGCGCGGACGTGTGGGGTTTGATACGAGGGTTTCGATACGCGAGAGACATCGGGTGAAGCTTCAACTGTGGAAAGTGTGATTTAGGTGGATGTTTTTTTTTCTTCCTTAACCAGTGAATCCCCTTTCTGGGGAATAGGTTTGAACTATGGTTCTACTGTTTGTTCCGGTTCATCAAGAAAATCCAAGCGAAGAACAGACAGTCATCCCCAGTTGGCGAAGAAAAGCTGGCGAAAAGGAACGTTCACAAATGCGAGATCACTGATCACTGGGAGCTCCCTCATATAATTTCATGAACACGAGTTGACCGGCCGTGCCCCATTCGGCTGCATGAGCGCAAGGCTGGTGGCAAGTCGTTTTACCGTTTCACCATCGAACACCGTTGCTCGGCACATGTAATGCGTCTTTGGAGCTATCGGTTCCCAACTGTGCTGCCTTTCGGCTGCAGTACTGCAGGCATTGGAGTGCTTGCAGCTACCGCAGAACTGGATGGCAGCCATCGTTCCGCATTGGCACAAGTGTGGCCAGTACAGCATGTGGC